AAGCTCATAAGAAGATTTCATGGAGTGCTACAGCTCCAGAGCAAGAAGAAGGCAAAAAGCCCCAGACCCAAAGCAAACAAAGCAAAGCATCCTCCCAGTGATTTGTGTTCTTCATTTCCAGCCATGCTGGCATTTTACACTGACTTTGCACAGGTGTATGTGAATAAAGAAGTCAGGAAGCAGTATGGAGAGCAAGGCTCTTAAGGAGTTAGTGGAGCTTTCCTGCTGGAAGGTTATGTTCACACTGAAAGTGGGAAATCTTGCCTCAGCAGGCAGGAAATATGTGATGCAATTTCAGCACAGAGTTGCTGGAAATAAAATAGCCCATAGACTGAAAAAAAAATGGAGGGAACACTTTGCATGGCCAACACGTGCCGTGTCAAAGCTAGTGATGGGGGATCCTTTGACTGCAGAAGCAGTGGTGCACTGACCACGGTACGTGGTTACTGCATCCCATTCCTGTAGGGAGGAGCGTATATCCCTGATCCTGGAAGAAATAGCTGTCTGCAAATTCTTCTGAGTGGTGGCGGATTTTCTTGAGGGAACATTTTTAAGCATCAGTGGCTGAAAAGGCACAATCTGCTGTTTCACTTGAGGTGATGTTTCTTTCACGTGAAACAGTTGTGTGGTTAGAGCTGGTTTAGCTTCAGAGAGTGGATGATCAGCAGGATGTAACTTCAGATGAGAGTCATGCTTCCAACTTCCACATGCTAAGGCTCCATGTTGCCAGTTCTCCTGCCCTCAATCTCATTTTCAAAAATTCCTCTTCAGATGTTTCCACCTCCTCCAGTTGTGCCAGTTCAGCCACTTGCTGGGATGAAATCTGCGTTGGAGCTGGTCTGGCATTAAGGGGTTTTCTTGTTAGTAAGGCTTTCGAAGAGAAGTTGGATTGTTTAAATGGTTCACCTGTGAGTGTGGCTACATAAACTGTTTGACTGGCACCAATGAATGGCAGTAACTGTGTGAGAGAGAGGGTGGAAGGATCCTCTATGTCTGCTGCAGATGGAGTAGTGAAGTGGAGCCACAGCCCTACACACTCTTAATATTATTTGCATGAGTAGCTCCATTGTATTTCAGTGGGACTCTACTCACACATGTAAAACTCAGTATATGCAGGGCCAGGCCCCTAATGAGCATAAAAGCTGGAATTGGGGTGTGCCGGCATCTGTAGCAAGTGTAATGCAAATGCATTTTGCTGGCTGGCCTATCTTGTCTAATCTGTTCTGCAGAACTGGAGCTCCTGTAGCAACTTTCCTTAGGCTTGGTTCACACTGATGGAAGAGGAACCTGCTTCTGAGTTGAAAAGCTGGTCTTCTGACACTGCTGGTGCCAGGGAGCTGTGAGGAGAGTGTACCTAGGATGGTGAGCTGCACTGTTTCCAAGGTGTTCTTGGATCTGCTGGAGCACTCTGCAGAGCCAGGGCAGCCGCCTTCTCTGGTGCTGCTGTTACAAGCATGGCGAAAGGAAGGCAAGCCTCGTGATAAGGTGATGCTCTGCAAATTGGCCAGGGCAATTCCATGGTCTGGGGCTTGACTTGCCTGTTGTACAGCCTGTTGTCACAGTGAATGTCATTTGGGAGCCTCTTGTTAGTTCCCATGGTAAAACCCTTCGAGGACGGCACCAGGGAACTCTCAGCTGAGAATCCCTGCCTTGGGAATTCACCACTTGTGACGGTTTGCTGTGGCAAATTCCCAAAGGCGGCGGGTGCAGCATCATCTTAACTCTTGAGGGTGAAGCAGAACACCTTGATAGTTGCTCTCCGGAGCCCCAAAGAGAGGAAGGAAGAGACATAAAGCCGTTGGAGGGGAGAGGCTTGGTGTGGTTATTTGAGACCGCTGCCTGCAGAGTTGCACAGTCATTTATAACTGTTTGAAATGCAGGGGGATGGGGTTAGGGGGGATGGGAGGGGAGCCAGAGGAACCACAGCATATGTGAGCTCGGAGCATTTTATGCTCCCTTTCCCCCTGTAGCTCCTCCAGGGAGAAGACAGCAAAGTACTTGGCCAGAGGAGGGATGAGAACAAGAACAGCAGCCTGCTAACACCTCGTGCTTGCCGCTGCTGTTGTATTTGTCAAGACTGAAGCACAGAGTAGGATCTCCTTCTGAAAAATTAGACTGGGTGCCTGGCTTCTTTAGTCTCCTTAGGAGAATCCCAGCCTTCACCACCCCGCTTAAGCAAAGGTTCCCCTTCAACAAACCACAGTGGGTGCGTGATATCAGTGAGGGCAGGGCTGGCTCTTGGGCTTGCAGCGCCATGGGTGTGTGTTATCCATACATTGTGTTTTGCTGCCTTGACCTGGGCATTCTGTGAAGCCTCTCCGTTTGCTGAGCCACTTCTAGAGTGGGAAGTGCAAGGGAGAGGAGAAAATGTGGGTGTTACCAAAAATGAAGGCCTGTATCGGTGTCAGAGTAGGTAAGGCTTGTGCGTCAGTGAGCTGAGCCAATGGCAGCAGAGGTGGTAGTTTTAAGTGGAGCTGAGCAGTTTGGTTTCACCAGTATGTTTCCACAGTGTTATTGATCTCAACCGGAAGGCTCCCTTAGGGCTAGCAATGGTGGGTGGGTTGGCAAGGCTGGCTGGGGACTGGGCGTACCACCTTGGGGTCAGGGATGCTGGGAACAGACTTGTGTGGAAAATGTAACCCAGAAGTCAAAGGGCTATCCAGGGTCTGCAAATTGCAAGGGTTGAAGGCTGCTGCTAAGAAGTATCCACCTCGAGGAAGAATATCTAATAGCTTACCAGGTTTGAGTTAGCTACTGTTGCAGTGTTCAGGAGGTTGTAAAGAGGTCTTGCTTTTAGTTTTGTAAAGGAATGGGCAGGGACTGGAGAGGAGGAAAAGGCACCTGGGGAACAAGGACAGAGATGGTTTCATCTGCAAGAACGGCACCCTGTGATGTCAGGGCCGCCTTCTGGGATGGTGCTAGAGGTGGGAAAGGGACCTGGCGTTGCAGGTCGTCTGAGGATAGAGGGAGAACCCACTGCATTTCTGTTTGCTTCTGGTGGTGTTTGGCAAAACAGGTTATTCAAGCATTGCGGATATGCAAAAACCAGCTGCCTGCTTTCCCCACTGAGACTGCAGCGGTTCTGTGCACCTCTGTCAGCTGTGGGATGGAAAGATCTCGCTTGTAGCCCACAGGATCGCCCATTTTAAGGATGTGTTGTGGGGGGTGAAGGTTGGTGGATGCTGAAAGCGCTTTTTTCACCAAATAAGTCACTGGCTGAGAAGGATGGGAGGCCACTGCAAACCTTCAAAACTCCTCAGTGTTAGCTAGATTCCAACCACACCAGCGTTCAATCCCCAAACATGGGACACGTGTTCAGGACAGGACGCCGTGGCACATCTGCATGCCGATAGATTGTGTCCCTTTGCCATTTGCTGCCCGCTTTCTCTGCTCAGCTGCCGGCTGCCGCCCGGCCTGATGCTGTCTTCACCAGAAGAAGCTCTCGGCTCTCTTCAGAAGCGCGTGGAAAGGAATTTTTACGCCCTGCTTCAGCGGCCCGACGGAGTGCGGTTCCCTGACGGCCGTGTCCGATGGGGGGCCGTTAGACGGCGGGCAGCCCGCGGTGGGCGCGCCGTCCCTTTAAAAGGGGCGGAGGGGCGGGGTCACCGCGGGCGGGGGCGGGGCTATGCTAAGAGAGGGGGCGCGGCCAGCGGGAGGTCGGGGCGGCGCTCCTTGCAGGCGCGGGGGGCGCCGCGCCTGTCCCTTTAAGAGCCCGGCTGCTACCACCGTGCGGGCGAAGGCGGGAGGGGAGCGCGTGCGGGGGGACAGGGGAGGGGGGGAAGGGGCGCAGTCCCCGCCCCCTCGCTGGGGAAGGGCGGGCCGGGAGGCCGGGCGAGACCACTGCCCGGAACGGGGAGTAAGAGGCGGTCCCGCCGCCGGAGTGAGTCGGGGACGGTACCATTCCCGGGGCGGGGCGCGCGCGACGGGCGGTACCATCGCTCTCCGCGGGTTGCGGGACGCGGCGGGAGGGGGGAGGCGGGAGGGAGCGGGGCGCGGGCCGGGGGGGGAGTGGTGGGGGGAGAAGAAGCGGTGCGTGGGGAAAAGAGGGGACCGGGAGGGGGGGGGGAGCGGGAGAGAGGGGCTGCGATGGGCGGTACCACGCGTGCGGCGAGGAGGGGGGGGAGGCGCCGGCGGACAATGGAGCCTGTGTGTGTTTGCGGGAGGGGGAAGGACCCGCCGCCGCCGGGGGGAGACGCCGCGCCGCCCCCTCCCGCCCGGGGCTGAGCCCGGCCGCGGCCCCCGCCCCTCCCCCAGCGGCCGGCGGTGAGTGAGGGGAGGCGGCGCTCGGCCACTGCCTCCCCCCCCGCCACCATCACCACCAACCAGCCCCCCACCTCCTCTTCAGCCGCCCCCCGGCGACGGCCGCCGCCCGCCCAAAGTTTGAGAGTTGGGGGCCGGGGGGAGAGCGCCGCCCGCGGGCTGGGGGTGTGCGGCGGCGGGGCGGCGGCGCGGGGATGCGCGGCGGGCGGGCGGGGGGTTTGGTGTGTGGGGCTGCGGAGAGGTGCACGCGATGCTGAGCTCCGGCCGTCCCGGGGGCTGCGGGGAGGGGGCTGTGCTGTAGCGGAGCCCACGGGGCTGCTGCGTGCGGAGGGGTGAGCTGGAAGCCGTGTGCTGTGAGCGACGGGCTCTGAGGTGTGTGCCGGGGCTGCTGCGTGGAGAGAGGCGCTGGGTGCGGCACGGGGGGCTTCGGGGCTGAGTCCCGAGAGGGGATGGGACGACTCTCTCGAGGCAGCTGCGGGGGGTGTCCGGGGACAGAGAGCCGGCAGCGCTGGGGAGGGATCTGGGTCTGACACAGGGCACACCGGGGCACAAAGGTGTGCGGGGCCGAGATGCTGGGGCGGGAGGAGAGGGGTGCAGCGGGGACGTGATCGTTGTTGGGATAGGCTGTGAGGAAAGGCTGGGGGCTTTGTTGCAGGGGGGAACTGAGATATCGGTGTCCGCGTGCAGGGATGTGGAGAGCTGTACGGCAGCACGAGGTATGCTGGAGTTGGTATGGGAGGAGGGAATGTAGCCAGGGGAGGGTGCGAGGAGCTGGGGCTGGAGTGGCTGGAAGGTGGAGGCCAGGTTGTGGGGAAGCACTGGGAGTCAGGGAATGGGTTATGAAGGGCTTTCGGCAGGAGGGACCTGTGTCTGCCAGGGTGTCTGGAGCTGGGCAGCAGCACGTGCAGTTCAGGGGTAAAAGAGCACAGAGAAGCTGAGCGTGCAGTGTGGGGTTCTTTGTGAAGTAGTTGCACGAGGGGAGTCTAGGATACCAGAAATGTGGTCCTATATGTAAGGATCGTGGGCAGAAGTATCTGAAGGCAGATGAAACGGTGTGTTTGTAAGTTTCTACTAGACACCTCACACGTGTGCGAGATAGGGAGCTTGTGCCCTGACCTACTGCAGAGGACTAGCAGGGGCTGTCAGCAGAGCGAGGGAGGCTTCTGGAGAGATGCTGCAAGTTCATGAGATTGTTCAGGGCTGGATGATGGGAAGAATCAGAGAATGGCTTGGGTTGGAAGGGACCTTAAAGCCCACTCAGTTCCAACCCCCTGTCATTGACAGAGTTGCCTCCCACCAGCTCAGGCTGCCCAGGGCCCCATCCAACCTGGCACTGAGTGCCTCCAGGGATGGGGCATCCATAGCTTCTCTAGGCAGCCTGTTCAAGAATGCTGTAGAGTCCAGATGGTAAGGGAAATGATGGGACAGGTAGGTACGTGCAAGCAGTGAGGCTCCACTTCTGGGATGAAAGAGTGTCCTGTTCTTCTGTGTGGTCCAACCTTCTACCTGAGGCTGTCATGTACTGCATGATGGCTGAACATTTGGGATGTGGGAGATGGATGGTGTTCTGAGAGAGTAGACAAAGCATGACACAGGACACAGGTGGGGAGAATCAGATGTGACAGTCAACTGTGGGTTACTGTTTGGGCACAAAACATGAAGGTGGTATAGTTAGGTGGTTAGTGGTGGCTTAACACTAAACAGAATGAGCAATTGGTTAGGAAATTGGCATGAAGCAAAGAGAAGTATCAACTAATAAGTGAAAGTAGGGAGTTGATTGTGGAACAGTTCTAAGCCTGCCAGCATGAAAGGGAAGATGCTTTTATTCTCTAGATGCCAGACCTTGCTTGCAGTCAGAACAAGACTGTTGCCTTCTGCGAGAGGAGCAGCAGGTCTCGTAGCACTCACCTTGGAAAGCAGCAGCTTCTCCTTGGTTGGGGCAGTTTTAACCTCACTGACTTGGGGCTGAGGAGAGGAGGCTGTATCAAGTCAGGTTTGTCTCACCAAGCCTTGTGGATGACAGGCTACTCTGCTGCCGAAATAGATTTGGAGGAAGCGGAGAAAACAGCTCCTTAAGTTTTGAGGGGGTCCAGCAATGTTTTTATTTTCCTTTGTAAGTATTTTGTCCTGGATTTCTCCATGAAAAGCCCACACATACACTCTAGGAGTTGTGAAGCATCCTTAAATGCATCAACCTTTAAAACCAGGAAAAGAAGTGAGGCTTATTTTCTTCTATTTTGTTGGAAGTTAACATTCAGTCAGTGATTGCTCAACACGTTACAAAAGCAAGTATTGGGAAGCTAAGCAATGCGCTATGTGAAATCAAACAAAAAGAAAAAACAAACAACCCACAGGGTATGGAATGAAAGAAGTGACATACCTAAAGAGCTTTAGTCCTGTCTTCTTTCTGCTCACCTCTCTCCAGCTTTATATTAGGGCTGTAAGGCCTGTTTGCAGTGACTTGGTGCTACAGGTGTGGGGCTGGTGGAGCCGCGTAAGGGCTGGCAGGCGGCTGCTGTGCCTTCATCCAGCACGAGTGCACGCGTCCGAATACCACAGCAGCTTGATCAGCTTTCTGTTGGAAATCATAGGAGCTGCTCCAGTGAGATATTACAGTCGGTGTGATATCACATCATTGGTGTAATGGCTCTGTTTTGGTTCTTTTGTTTTTGTTTTCACTTAGCACCGATCTCCAAAAAAGATTATTTGCAATGAATGTGACCTTTTTTCTAACTCAGAGCATAAGAATAGCTCAAGGGCTCATATTTTTCTCCCCTTGCTGGCTGCTCCTCAAACAACAAAAGAAAGACAGCATTTGTATTTTAAGTTAGAGTTAGCAAGGGTGGCAGTTTTGGGATCTGGGAATTTTCCCATTGAGGTGGGGCTTTTGATGGTGGTTTTTCCAGTCTTTTTTTTTTTTTTTTCTCTTTTCTTTTTTGTGGCAAAGGGGTCTTGGGATCTTGGATCTCACTGCACTGTTGTGAACTCTTAACACCTTAATTGAAGGGGTGGAGATGCTGAAGCATTAACAAAGACCTCCTTTATCCAAAATGTTAATCAATCATTGACGTTAAATAAGTGTGAACAAAACCAACTAAAAAAAAAACCCTAAACAAGTTTTTGTCTAAGTTCCCCCCCCTTCCTATTCAGTTGCTCAGTCTTTGGTCAGGTTAGTGTTAGCAATTCTTTTGGGGGTGTGCTTTATCTATGCGTACATGCACGTGTTTTGACAGCGTGTGGTAAAAGTTATGTTTCTGACTTCCCGGTACGTATCTTTTTCTTTCCAAGGCAAATCATTTGCTTCATAGATGCCATAGAATTGTTTCGAGATGTGCTCTGCTGTGATGCGAGGGAAATAGCAGGGATATGACAATGCAGTTGTAACCATTTTCTTGCGGGGGAAGGGCGCGTGCATGGTGTCTTTTGGAGCTTTTGTGAGGTTTGGGGAAGATGCTTTTCTTTTGGCTCTTGTGATCGGTTCACTTGTTTGTCGGTCAACACGGTCTTCTAGGCAGGACCTGAATTTTAATGTGGAAGAAAATAAATAGGTTTCTGTTCATACAACCAGAAACTTTGTAGACCTGTTCTGTATATTATGAATACAAAGAGTGTGGACTCTTCCCCACGCTTCCCTCCCTCCCCATCTTGCACTGAACCTTCCCAGTTCACGTACTTGGAGTATTTTCAGTTAGTCCACAGCCAAAGGAACTGCATTTGTCACTGAATATCCAAATATAGAAACCGAGGCACCTATAAGCCACAAGGCTAAAATATTCATGTGCAATGGTTTTTTTCTGGGTGATTTGTATGTACGAGGTGGATAAGAATGGAGTAACCTTTGGTCCATTTCTAGCTGTTCAAAGACTTGCTGCTCTGTAATATGTTGAATTTCCATTATTTCTACTGGATTTTTTTCTAGATTTCTGTTTCTTCTTGAGTTCCTAACACACTTGGCAGTTCTGTTGCCTTGCAAACTGTGTGTGGCTTTAGAGTTGGTCTTTTATAAATTCAGTGGAAAAAAAAAACAAACAACCCAAACAACAAATTCCTTATCCTTATCTTAGGGAGAAACCGACGCTCAAATGAGTATTCAAACTCATTCACATCCTAAATGTCAACTATGTTACCCAGCAGGATTTGATCTCTCCCACTTTCTAGAAGTTTACCAGGATTTCTTCAGAGCAAGGCAGGCAGCCTTCATAAAATCCTGCTATCTAGTTTGCATGGCCTTGGACTTCACAGAAATCTCGGTGCCTCGGTAAGGTCTGTGGTCTGTTTACATAGATATCAAGTCCTTTAACCCAGCAAGATTTGCTGTGGGCTAGGATTTCCTGCTTACAAGCTCAGCTGGAGTCCCTCTAGTCTTCCTGCTGGCAAAATGAAGGTGTTAACTCAGGTTTTGAGTGCATTTTGTGAATGGAAGGAGATTTTTTTTGCTTTTTTTTTTTTTTTTTTTCCTTTGGTCTGAGTACTGCTGTGCCTGTCGTTTAGAATGCCTTTCCCCGTACCTTTGCTTGTCTTGTTATGCTTTTCTTCTTCTCTTTTAATTCTTTTGGAACTGGATATTCATTTTGGCAGGACTGTGCGAGCACAGAGTTTGGGATTGCAGATCTTGACAAATTTGAGCAAAAAAACCCTCCAAACACATCTGTTGGGAGAATTTGGAAGTTTCCTTTAAGACCAGGACATCTTACAAACACTGGTTAACTCTGTAGCAACAGCAAGACATAAGATGATATTTAAAGGTGTGCTGAATCCAAATTAACTGTCTCAATATTGTCTTTAAGACGAGCATCATTCATATTTTTTTTTCAGAAATGGGGTTGCATTTTCTGTCTGCATTCTTGCCTTTAGGCCTGTCTACTTGCTGTTCACATGCCTGTGAGCCGTTCTTTCTCTGGCAGAGCTGGCTTTTGAGGAGCCTGGCTGCTGGACCCTGCACCAGTCCTTCCTTCGTGCCAGTGCTGCCCGAGCAGCTGGATGCTGAAATGGATCAAGGGACCAATCAAGGGCTATAAGTAGCCTGGCCAAAAAAAAAAGAAAAAGTTATATTTAGCCTGGATCAGTTTGCCAAAGTAGTTTGGTGTTTGGCCAGGCGTGCGGTGGTACTGGCACATCAGACAGCGTGGTGCAGGGGTGGAAGTCAATCTTGGTAGCTGCAGTCTTTTCAGCTGGCATTGCTGCCAAAAGGAACGCTCACCTAACTGTACCCCTAAGAGTCTGCTAAACTTGCTAAATGTTATTTACACCTATTTGTTACAGCTTCTCTTGCCTGAGAATGATTCCTTCAGCTTATCCTTTCTGCCAAAAGTGTTTCTCATCCCCAAACGTGTGTGCTGCGTATGAAAAGAGAAGCCACGGTTAAGTGTTAGTGGGGGCAAAAAGAGGAGCGTGGCTGTTGAGCTATGGAGAATTTTCTGCTGCTTCATGGCCGTCTGATGATACAGAACATGTAGTGTAAATTGCTGATAGAATATTTAGCGTGGTTGCAATTAAGCAGCGAAACTCACGCTGTGAGAATCATCAGGAGCAAGAATTCAACAAGAGTTAAAAGGATCAGATGTCTGTAGGAATATGAAGAATATTCAATTATCATAATCAGCGACAGTAAAAATTTTGGAAGAAGTATTAAGCCTGTGGTCTAAACCTTGATTTTATTCTGCTCTAACAGATGTGCTTCTATATTGGGAAAAGAGGGGGAGGGCAGGGGTTGTTTTGCCTGCTTTTACCCTGGCGGTCTTGCACGCTTCTCTGGAAACTTTGATTGGTACCAGAATTGGAGATGTGCCTGTAAATTGCATGGGTTCTGGTTTTATCTTGGTGACCCTCCTGAAATCTGGTCTGAGATTCTAAACCGTGACCACGGTGGAAAGTGACCTGCTGCTCCCCGAGTTATGTTTGCTTCACTCCTGTTTCTGTGAGTTGTTCCCCAGAGCTTTGGTTTTTTTCTTCTTTGATGACACTCGCTAAATTTATTTTAAAGGCTGTTAGGAAATTGCACTCTACTGTATTTTAAGAATGAGTCTTATCTGTTTCAGGTAGCTGAACATGCTCCAAGATCCCTTGTTTTTCAGAGAGACTTAAAATCAGAGATGTGCTGTTCCTTGCTTGGCCTCGAAGAAGGAGCTTGTGGAATAGGGAACGGAGATGAGAAGTGTCACTGTAAGGTGGCTGGTTTGTTTGTGTGCTTGTTTCTGAAGCCTGGTTGGAATCAATGAAATGCTTTTGAAGGAGAGAGAATGGCAAGTATGCTTTACATGTGACACAATTTATCTCAACAAAGCAAGGCTGAGAGGTGCTGGAGCAATGTCCTCTGAGAGTTCACTGAGAATCATTGAGAATCGGGTGCCTCAGTCTCGAAAACAATAGTGATTTTAAGTGCTCCTTAGAGATTTTTGGCAACCTGTGGCCAAAAGAGAGTGTGATATATGTGATAATTTAACTGCATACAGAATGGAAGGAGTGTTTGCTTCCTTCTGTATTCAGGTCGGAGTAGTTGTGATTCAGGAACATGGGCAGCTCCTCTGAGCTGGCTGTCCAGTTTGTCTGACTGTTGGGCCTTTTAAGAAAGGAGTGCCACTATATTCCTGCTGCTTACCTTGGTAGAGGGATGCCTGTGTGCATCAGCAGAGTTGGAGAGCTCAGCAACATTTGTCCATCTTGTCACTGCATGGCCCCCAGTGCCCTTTGTACTTCTGGAACAGAGGTTGCAGGTACCTGTTTTACCTTTGATACCTTTCAAAGCCAGCTGAGGTTGGATCTTGTGAACTTGAGAAGAAAACCGGCCTCTTAATATGCCTGTGATTTATTGACTAGACTGTGTTGCTTCCGCTCCACAAAATGCTTTAGATCTGCATTTCTACTTGAGTACGGCGCACAAAAGAGTTTTTGCCACCTATGTGGTGTGTATGGATTGGTGCAAAATATGATGGAATATTCTCTTTTGGTAGCTCACTGCTGAAAACCATGGGTAAGGTCAAGCATGGACCCTTCTTTAGCTTACTCAGAGCTCTACCCTCTGCATTTTGCTAGAGTGACTTCTTCAGGCATCTCGATACAGCTGTTTCTTTGCCTACAGAATTGCAGTGGTTTATCTACATACTGATCTGGTTTTGTTTGGGGATTGATTAGAGGTGTATTTGCAGTGTAATATAAGCTGTAGCCTGTCAAAGAAGGGCAGCTGCAGCTTCTGCAGTTGGAGCTGTTGCAGTAGAGTTGAGGCCATCCTCGATGTGGAGGAGCTCTTCTCAGAATCCGTGCAAACAGAATTGAAATTTTCTGCAGCATTTTAGATGTATGAATGAGAAGGGAGTGAAGAATTTCAAGCTGAAATGGCTTGACAGCTTGTTAGCAAGAAAATGCTCTCTTCTGCCTCAAAAAAAAAAAAAAAAAAAAAAAGCCCTTAACCTTCTTGTGGTTGGGGATTGGAAGTTGAAACTGTCAGGCAAATAGCCACCATCCAGGAGAAATGCTTCTGAGTGTTCTTGTGAAAGGTAGCTTTGATTTGACAGTTGCAAGGCTTTGAGAATAGCACTCTGTTTATACAGCGCTGTAAATACTTTGAAGTTTTTTAGGCTTTGCTGTACATGCGTGGCTATTTAGGATAGTATTAAATGTATACATGTTGGTTGAATGAGGGAGGATTCTGCGGCCGTTGGAGTTGCATGCACTTTGTGCTTTTATAAATCACGTCAAGGCAGCAGGTTAGATAATAGGCCTGATTATGGAGTTTCTTAATTTCTTGTCAAAATAAGATTTTTGCATGCGGTGTTTCGAGATCTTCTAGGTGACCTCCCATTATTTAACAAATGTCAGTTTTTCATCCCGGCAGCTTTGATACGATCATGTAGCCTCCTGGAGCATGGTGTGCACGCTGTCTTTGCTTGTAGACTTTCTTTGAAGTGCCTTCCTCCTCAGAAGAATCATTGCTGTGCTGACGAGCTGACGTTTAACAGCTAGGAAAGCAGCACGCGGAGGCATCATGCTGGGTCACTAGAGATAGTGATGTGTGTAATGTGCCCGAGGTGGGTCTAAAAGCGGAGGAAGGAAAGGTTCAGCACAGCCTTAGTACCCTGCACGAGAGGGCTGTGGCTGTGGTCGTGTGTGCTTCACCCTGCCAACCTGCCAGGGTGGGACAGCCTGGTGTTAGAAGGCTGCAGGAGGGCTTGTGCAGGTGAGAGAGCAGCTGGCGGTGGTGGTTGTGAAAGAAAACTGATGCTGGAAGGCAGTGATGCTTAGGGGAGCCTTGAGACACTGCTCATCTGGGATGAGTGGGAGGCCGGGTCACTGGTCAGCCGAGGTTTGATGAAGGAAGGTATGTGGGTTTCCCCCAGCACTCCTGCCAGACCTGGGGTATGGGGTTCCCACCCAGCACACCCAGTAGCGACGGTCCTCTTTGGAGGAGGTCTGTCCTGTGCTAGCCCAGCCTCATTTAGCTTATGAAAACTGTCAGGATTGCAACCTGAGGTGTTATGCCTGAGGACTGTTTCATACCTTTCATTCTAGAAGCTTGGCGAGGGGATGCCAAAATGAAACAAAAAAGCACTTGCTTTTTTTTTTTTTCTCCTCCATTCTGAGCTGATAGGTAACTTATTTCTTCCAAGGCTTCTGCTTAAACAGTGTGGTGTTACTGCATATTGAAGAACAAGCTCAATTCTCTTCAGTCTTGTATTCCTATCCGTTGTTTTCTTTTCTTTTTTTTTTTTTTTTTTATTACCTGTAGTTGTTGTTCATGCTGATGTCACTATTTATGTTTTAGAAAAAATAAACCCAGAGGAGTAGGGGAGATTGCCTCTGGCTGCAATCCTGATATCTTTTTGCCCCAGACAGATGTGATTTTGACAGGAGGCAAAGCTACAAAGCCTGTGGACATCTCTGGCGTTATGCAGTGGACTCCAAAACATAGTGTTGACTGGTGCTAGGTCTGTTAACTGCTAACATGATGTAGAAAGCTGCAGAAGCCTGTCATATATTGGGGAAATATTGTTAAAGCATTTCTTGAGAAATCTCTGATTGCTAAAAGCTTTTGATCTTTGTCAGTGTTAACAATAGTAGCAACTCCAGAGCAGACAGGCTGCTGCTCAGGTAAGTGACACTCCACGTAAAGTGCTTAAAACTCCAGCTGTAATGTACGAGTACAGCTTTGTTGATGTAAGGAGAGCTGGTATCACTCTGGCAGCTATGCTGAGGATGCTGAGGCTGGTGCTAGTGGGATGTTGCAGCATACCATGGCCACGGTGCACCAAGCACCCTGGTGGCATCCCTGCCAACCCGTAGCTGCAAAGTTGGTGAAGCCATGGTGTTAACAACAGGAATTGTTTGCACCATAATTGTCCAGAAGCAGGTTGCTGTAGCTTTGGTGTGTTGTGGAACTGCATCAGAAATTGCAGGGAACTCCAGATGTCTGTGGACAGCTTGAATCTGCTCACCAGTGTCCATTAATATCTGTCTCCCCTGTTACTTTGTGGAGGGAGTTGTGGAAAGAGCTGTATGCAATCAGAAACTATCTATGAAAGGTGATCATCCTCCTTGTCTTAATAGCACAATGAAGAGTTTTTACAGCACCAAAAGTTTAATGGACATATTATGGACACCTTTTATGGTTTACTGGACCACTTGCCCACTGCAAAAGATTGTTTTCGAATGGTTTCTGTAAATACTCAGAGTGAATAGCTACTGAAACAGCCTTTACATCAGAGCTGCTGTTATCCTTGTGCTTGTCAGAAGGAAGAGTGGGCTGTTGCATTAGGAATGTCATAAAACTCTATTCTCTGAAACTTCGGTTGTGATTGTGCTTTGTCAGTGGTGGTTTTGACTGTGCTTTTTGAAGATCAGAGAATGGAAGGTAGAACTTTCTGTGGCTGTCTCTACTTATTTGGAGTGGACTTCTGGGGGAGACTGGTTCTTTGGGAAACATCCATTTGGTGGTAGAAATGAGGGGGGGAAGTGTGGAAGAAAGTATCTGTGCTATGTTAACCAAGGTGTGTGAATGTGTAGGCAGAGCTAGATCCAGTGGAATGGCACTTGTGACCACACATCACATTTGCATGGTGTGGTTTTTTTTTTTCTTCCTTATGGTTTCATGAAGGTTTATAGCATGGTTTTGAAATCTTACATTAATCTGAGCTATTCAAAGGGACTTATTTTCTTGTAGTGGCATAGTCTCCTTCTTTCTTTCCTTCTTTCTTTCTTTCCTTCTTTCTTTCTTTCCTTCTTTCTTTCTTTCTTTCCTTCTTTCTTTCTTTCTTTCCTTCTTTCTTTCTTTCTTTCTTTCCTTCTTTCTTTCTTTCTTTCCTTCTTTCTTTCTTTCTTTTTTCCCATGTAAATGTGCTTGTAGATCATCAAGTATTGATTTTGTGTGTGCTGCCTATCTTTGTGCAGACCTTTTCTCTGTGCTTCAAGGCATGGAGTTAGTTGTGAGCAGTAAGCTGCCCGTGATTTAGAGGTTAATGGAGTGGTGGATTCACAGTATGTGTGTACAACTCAAGTTATTTCATCAGCCTCTTTTGGAAGTTGTAGTGAGCCTTGTCCTGTATTCATGTAGTGAAATGAATTTAGGTGACAGGATTTGGATTCTTTTTTTGATTGACAGTTGCTTTTGGTGAAAGACTTATCAGCAAAGAAGTAGTGCTGTGAAGCTTCTCTGACTTGTGCATAAGAAATTCTTGGGAGGACCTTAGGTGTGTCATCACTTTTATTGCCCAGACATAAACAGGGCAAAGTCCATACTGTTTTAGGGTAGGTTAGGATGCATCTAGAAACTGGTGTCGGCTGTGAGTTGCTGTTCAGTCAGCTCAGTATTAACAGGTTGGCTCTTGATCTTCGTAGAATCGCTGACTATCCTGAGTTGGAAAGGACCCATAAGGAACGCTGAATCCAACTCCCAGCTCTGCACAGGACCACTGACCACCATCCAAACCCACAGCTCTGAGAGCTGTGCCAAAGCACTCCCTGAACTCCAGTATATGTGGCCATGCCCAGCACCCTCTAGTGCAGAGCCTGTCCCTAACTCCCACCTCCCCTGACACAGCTCTGTGCTGTGCCATCTTTATAAAATAATTTGTGAGTCAATTGAATTTGTAGCATACCCCAGGTAGTGATAGAACTTGCTAGCTTTCCCAGACCAGCAGCTGGTTTGGGGTGGAATATGACCCATGGGCCATCTGAGGTGCTTCTGGTGCAAATAGCCTCTACAGTTCTGGCAGAAGGAGCATATCAGTGTGTCTTCTGAAAGACTATTGAGTTACGATGCTGGTTGTTCAGAGAACAAGGCTTGCAAACAGTGCTATGGAGAGGGCGTGACAATAGTTTGCCATCTACTGATTATTTACTTGGACAAGCAGAATCATAGTATGTCCAGGTGATGTGTGTTGATCGTGTGTCTCTAGCCCTGGTGTTTTGGTAGTTACCTGGTGTATTTTCTGCTCTCACTTAAGAAGTGCAGAAGAAATAGGCAGGGGAACAATGTACGAACACTTGAACAACCAGCTGAAGCCTATCCATGCCTGCCTGCTTTGTGCCAACACCAGTGAGCGTGTGGCCATCTGGTTGGCTGAAGCAGGAAGGCTGTCTGCTGAAAATTAATCCAGTCTTTTCTAGAGTTAGTTTTCAGCTGGATCACAAGTGCAAATGGTGGCTGGAAGGGATAGACTTGGATATTCTTAGACTTACAGAAGTTATTTCCTTGGCAGCAGCATGTACTTGGCCTACTGAAGGTAGGGCAGTGTTTTGACAAGCCTATCTTTTGACAAGAATGCATCTGGGTCCAGTACTGGTTGTATTACAGATGTGTGCTTTGTCCTGGGAAAGGGTGAGAACAGCTTTTGCTGAGAGATAGGAGCAATTTCAAGTGTAGTTAAAAGTCCCTGATAAGGGCTGTATCTAGAAGTATGGACTGATCTGAGGTATTGAGAGTGTTCTTTGTCCCCACCTCCTCAGTTGTCGTGGGGAGATGTGTGCGGTGTTGGAATACTCATATCGACTTGCCTGTTTGCCTACACATGATCTTAAAGGAGTGTGACAGCTGAATAAAAGCACTGAATAACACTTCCTGCGTCCTCCTTGTTTCCTAGTTGCACTCTTATCAGTGAGGTGTATAATCAGATACTCTGTTAAACAGCAGCTTATTAAAAAAAAAGTAACACGTGCAGTTCAGTTGCAAGCGTGCAGGAAAGGCAGATGTTAACCAACTGTTAAGGTGTACATATGTGTGAAAACCAGCAATAAGTCTGGGCTCACCTTTTGCCAGTGTAGGTGTTGTCCCACTTAAGTGGTTAAATGAAGATGGGGGAAATAGGATGTGCCCTTCCCAGCCAAATTGTGCGAAAGGAGCTGGTGCGTTCATTCATTGCCTTAGCCCATCTCTCCAGTCACATGGGGAACCCAGTGGTGGTTGCACACATTTCTTCCTGGTGGCAGCAGCTCAGACTGCTGCTGATGCCACTGCTCTCGGTCCCTCCCGAGGCTATAGCTCTTTGCAGAGCAGTCTCATAACTCCAGCTGCTCTCTCATCTCTTTCCTGCTTCACTACCCCAGTTACAATTCAGGGTGCTGGCTCAGCTTGCATTCAAAGTCATCGCTTGTTTTCAATAGCAGCAGGCTTCTAGCCTTTTTCTTTTTCCATGCTGGTTTTGGGCTTTTGCCACCCTTGGTCCAGCGCAGATTGACAGCCTCAGAAAGGCAGTGTGGGGAAAAAAAGAGCTGCACTCTTTCTTGTACGCTAAAAGGTTTCTTGCCTTTAATGCTTCGTGTCACAGTAAGGCCATAAGTTTGATACTTTCATCTACTTGGTATGCCTTTATTTCATCTCCACATTCTCCTCCTCAAAGAGGGAGAAAAGACTGAAGTGAATCAGTGATAGCTACAGCTGTTCCTGCTGAAGCAGCCACAATGCTGTACACCTCCAAGTACCTGGCCACTTGTTGCTGTCAAGCAATGCAAGCCCTGCTTCTGCAGTCTGAGGGCACAAAGAGGGAGCAAGCTACTTTGTGTGGTTTGTTTTTTCTTCTTTTAACTTCTGTTTGCATCTCAGTAATATGGTGGTTAGTTCACAGAAGATGGTTCATGAGTAAGTTACTGTTAGGTAAGATGAGTATCTATGTCTTGTTAGTTACTCAGTAGTGGCTGCTTGTGTGCACGCTCTCACCTTATTGCTGAGAAGCAAGTTGTCTTACACCGGCCATGGGCTAAGACTGTGCTGGTGAGCAGCAAAGGGAAGTAAACTAGAGAGTGGTGTTACCTTGCAATAACCTTCTATTTTATACCTCGTAATGCCAATTTGAACTTGAATGTTTCAAGCAACAGAGCTCCAGCCGTTTCTGCTGATAGATTCTGTCCATCGTGATGTGTGCTGGTGTTTGTGCTTTCTCTTTTAAGAGAAAGGGTGAATTTGTTGCTGTGGTGACAGCAGTGTGTCAGTATAGGCACTGACATGGCACTGCCAGCATTGCTGTCTTGGGTGGGGAAAGGGAAGAAGCGATAGGAGGAGGTAATTGGAGTCAGGGATCATTGTGCTGCTGTTGTACGTTTTGCTGGATGAGGCAGCTTGTTGCAATAGGTATTTGTTTCAGTTTCTGTCTGCAGGTGTGACTTAGCTAGATAAGGATGGTCTATCACCTTGATGATTTCATTGTTTGATTTGGCTGGATTGAGTGGAGAATGTAGCTCCATTGTTTGGGACCAGCATTGTAGTTTGGTTTTGTTGAAGTGTATTACATGGCAAGGTATTGCCTCATTATTAAGGTGAAGCTGCAGTAGGTAACAGTTGGAGAACGTCAGAGGGAAGAGGACATGCAGAGTGTTTCACAGTGCACACTGAGCCTCACAGCAGCTCCTGTGCTCCCGTTGGAGGGATCTGGTCAGCAGAAGAGACTGAGGTAGCACAGAAAAAACACTGGTAGCTCTTTTGGCGTGCAGTCACACTAAATGCAAGGCTATCTGCTGGTGTGAGCACGGGGTGCTCAGAGAGACTGCGTTGGCTCCGACAGTTTGGATGCTGTCTGGCTTCATACTGCTCCTGCAGCCTCTCTTGTTTTCAGAGTGGTTGAAGGAGAAGAAGCTGGCAGGTAGCTAGCTGATCTTTCTTTACTGACCTCAAATTTACTATTGAGCTGCTCCTCAAAGTCTGTTTCCCTGTGTCAGTATGTTTTCAGGCACTTGTGTTTTCTTTGAGATGTGGCTGAGCATTACTGTTGGAGGGCTGTCTCCAGTACTGAAAGTGTGGCTCTCAGCCTATGAACTCCTTTGACCTACAACCGTAGTGGCAAAGGGTCCCTTCTGCACTTCTCACAAGCAAACTTCAGGGCTGTCTTACACGGAAAGGTTTTGGTGTGAGTTCCCTTCTCCCCGGGGCATAGCACAGTGACATGGAATAAGGGCTGGTAGAACAGCAGGTTGTGCATCTTCCTTCTAAAACCTGCCTGGTTCTCCCCTAGGTGTGGTGGAGCCGTTAGCTGGCTTTACCTGATACTTCATGTTTTTATTTATGGCTTTTGTGGATGTGGAGGAGGTTTTGTATGGAGCATAGGGGTTTGGCTGGACTCACAGTGAGGGGAAAGTAAGCTTTTGAAGAGGAATGGGTGCAGAGAAAGGGGAGGTTGCTCATATGAGCCTTGTGCCAGCTTCTCAGAGCACAGATGAGCTCATGGGAATCCAGCAAGCTTAAATGTGGGAGTGTTGAAGCAGGTCTGAGCTACCTCCCCTCTGCACATCCTTGTGCCACAGGCTTCTTCAGATGGTTCTAGTCTGACGATGGCGTTTTTGCTTCTGATGAATGTTGCCAGCCTAGGCAAAGGCTCTCCCCATCAGTGATTGAGAGCAAGTTTTGATTCGTCTGCTTCTGGAGCTAGGTGCAGGGAAGGAAGGGGTGGCAGCTGGCTGGGCTGCGTGTTCTTGTTGCCGTGTTGCTGAACTCTGCCTCTCTCCTTGTTTTCAGGTGATCATTGCTTGTGAGAGGAGTGGTTTGCACCTCATGGCCTCCACAATGAGTACTGCTGTGTCGTGACGCCAGGGGTCTTGGTAAGCTACTTGAGGGAAAGGGGAGGGCCTTTAATGTTTCCACAAACATGGGTACAGCCCTTTTGTCTCCGAAATTGATGTTTGAAGTCCTTTTAAGCCATCCAAAGTGCGAGCTGCCTCCAAGTTGGGTGAGGCTACTTTTCGCCTGTTCTCGCCTCCTCCTTTGAGCTTGCAGTGGCACTGTTGTGGTTGCATCATCAACCAGATGAGGGGAGACTGATCCAGCTGAAAGGAGATTTCTCCTGTTTGCCTTGGGTTGATTCCCATTCAGATATTCCCCTGATCTGGTCAGGAGAGAGGTGAGAATGAGCAGATAGTCGAACCACCCTGGCATGCCTTTAAGCAATCCTGAAAATACAGCCTCAGATGCAGCTTGCCAAAATACTTCGAAAAGTTGCTTCACCATCAGTGACCCTACCTTTAATTTTAAAGCAGCGATAAGGGCTGTGCTATGCCAGGCAGAATCCAGCTGTAAAAATGCATTTCACTGGAGATTTTCCGTTGTTGGGCCCTAGTTTTCCAGACAGACGTATGTTAGAAGTACGTTTAGAAAAATCACAAGGCATTCAATTTCACATTATAAAAGATGGCATGTTCCCTGTGTACAGTGTACCATTCTGGTAGATGGAAGATATGCATATAGTATAAAATGTAGGGTTAAAAAAAAAAAAAGGAGGTTTTTAAATTTCCCCTGTGAAGTACTTGTAAGTTTGGTGATGTCAGAAATCTTGTACAGGCAGTGTGGTCATGATTCTGATCTTCAGTGTTTTTCTATTGATTGCACTGGGAATTTGAGATAATTCTCATCTTGCTGTAAAAGGTAACATTGTGATGCATAAGTATCAAAAATGAAAGAAAAGCAGAGGAAGAAACAACTAGAATGCCTGAAGTCCATCACTCAGGCACTCCTATGCTTCTTTTAGATTGAGCTCAGCTCATTTTAAAGCTGTTGTTCCTATTCACTTTTTTTAAACATGAAATTCGCTGTATTTTCAGTCACACCTTCACCTTCTGTAGAATCACTGACTTTTACTGATGCATAAATCTCTTCTGAAAAGCGGAATTAGGTGCTGTTGATAATGCCACAGGTTTGTTTTCAAAACAGTTGTAGTAGAATCTGCATGGGAAGCTGGAACCATTTAGTTACTTAGGAAGATGTTTTCTTTTGTCTTCAGTGTGTAGGTATTGCAGCAGCTCCAATTACAGCATGATAGTGGTAACAACAGTAATAGAGTAACACAACATTGTTCTCAGAATCAATGGGCTAACCAGTTTAAAGCCCCAGAGAGGCATGTGGATCTTGTGGAGTGTGCAGCTCAGGCTGGAGTTCATCTGATTGTGCCTAGTGAGAGGCAGGACAAATGAGGCCGTTACTGCAGAAACATGCCCTGTGTTAATGAGTTGTGCAGCACAGCGGAGGTAAGACTATGGAGCAGGCTTCTTGGTGAAGGAGGTACATAGCAGAGAGGAGAATTTTTGGAGGTGATGTTCCTCATGGAAGGATCGCAGTGTAGAGAGCTGCCCCGTTAACATACAGCAGTGCAAAGTCACTAAGAATTGTAATGGCACAACCTCACAGCAAGATCATTTGGGGAACTGGAGAACTCAGTAACACAAGTTACTGATAACGCTTGTTGGCTAAAGGTGGTCATATAGTACCAGAATTTCTTAGTCCTTCCTCTCATATCAACGTGTAAGCAAACCAATTTTTTGCTTTTTAAATACAATTCAAGTGGTAGTTTCTCCATAATACATATTCAGCATACTCCCTTTCTGATGAGACTTATTTTGTTTCGTCTGATACATACAGAAAGAAACTGCTTCTTCTTTGGTGCTGGGAAGGAATACCAGGAATATTTACATTTGAATAATGTTTAACTAGCAATGCTTAATACATTAACAATAAATCTTGGTTAGATTCTAAATTAAGTGGATTTGCATCTGAGTAGATGAGATGAAGAGAAGAGATTCTGTTGAAACATAAACAAGATAGAGATTTGTTCCAAAATAATCTAGCCCAAAGGATGTAAACCATAATGTTCAATAGTTTCCTCCTTCAGAATCAGTTCTGTGTGCCGTGTTGCTTGCATCATGAGTGTTTAATTGGTAATAAGCTGAAAAGATGCTTATTTTGTTGTGTGCTCCTTCTTGTTGTTTGTTTGTTAGCGTCTCAATAGTTTGTACCTTGTTGCCGAGCAAATTTTAGAGGGACTGCTCTCTAGTGATCTTTTGGCCTTTCTAGTAGGAAATAATGACTGACTAACTTCTCTGGTATTTACAGAGTAATCACAGCATAGCTGGTTGCTTACAGGTGGACAGGAAGGCATTTTATTTTATTTTCCTCCCTCTGTGCAACTCCTAGCACACATCATTGAACATATGTCTAGTTATATTGGACCAAGGAGACAGAAAAGATTTGAGCAGAGTTTATGTTCTGAAGAAATATCAGATTACGGCCATTCATGGGGGACTTCTAGATAGCTAAGTCATGGTGGGGATTTGTAATTTTGGCTTCCTGCTGACTTGCTCTGAGGTGTCTTCGCGCTGAGCGCAGAGATGGAATCAAAGCATGCAGGTATGAGAAGCTTCCCTGCTTTATTGTCTCCAGAGCTGTTTGCTTTGGATGAAGGGAAGCTGGCCTCACTGCCTGTAAACTGAACGGCCAACCAGGGCTGCCTCTGTTTGAAATACACAGACAGCTGTGCTGAGCCATCTGAAAGCTCTTCTCCTGCGTCTTCTCAGTAACGGGGAAGGACTGCCATTTACTGCTTCGCATCAGAGACATCTGCTTGGAAAGCTCCTCACCGGATTTCTGTTCTCTTCTTGTGGGATGGTTTTAACAGTGTGCCCTGGAGATGCGAGACTTCCCCTGGGCAGCAGGAGGCACGCGTCTAGAGAATGCTGGAGCTGCAGGAGGGAAGCACCCCGTGCAAAACCAGAGAGGAGCAAAGAGAAAAAAGGCAAGCAGACAGACAGCACTGAGAGAAGCGGGTGGCAGAAAGTGCTACAGAGCTGCCTCTGGCGGCACAGTCCCCAGAGGAACTTGACGAGAGCCCATCTGCGTGCGTGTGAGACAGCTCAGGATTTCTGTCAATGCATTCCAGTAACCCCAAAGTGAGGAACTCCCCGTCAGGCAACACACAGAGGTAAGGAAAACAGCCTGCTGGCTTGGTGCATGATGCTGTCCCTGCTCTGTTGTGGCGTTAGCCAGACTGATGCATGTGACTTACCGATCTTCCTCTGCGCTCTTGTCGGGCAGCTGTGCAGTGCCAGTGTGCCTCCACGTTTGCCAGGCTCAGAGTGAACCGAAAGAGCTCTAAGCCCATGAAGTTTGGATTCTGTGCTCCTCATGGCCTCCTCCCTTCCATCAGGCATCTAAATAGGTTGTAGCAGAGCGATCATGCTGTTTCTATCTGTGTTCTTCCCTCCATCCCCTTCTAATCATCTGTTTTCCCTAGGGGTGGTTGGACAGCGGGAGGTCTCTCTGCCTGTATTTTCACACAAAATGCTTCCTTCCTATTATGTGCCTGAACTGAATGGCCTGGAGAACTGATCAGCTGTGTGCTGAGGTCCTCTGTATCATTCACCTGCTGGTGCAGCAGGTCAGCATCTCTCCTCTGCTAATTTGGAAGGGAAAAATATGGAAGTGAAGCAGCGTCCAGGGACTTGCGATGGTCTGATTGACAGCATTTTCAAGTTTGATTATTTACTCCTAGAGGTGATGTGGAGCTTTACAGTAACTCAGAGGGAATACCTCTAATTCAGATGTCTGTCCAAAGGAAGAAATAGCATGTGCGAGTCCCTCGGTGGGGATGCTAGCGAACGCTGCCTGTTGGAAGTGGCACTGATGTTAAGAAAACCGAATGCAGTAGAAATGAAGTAACTGGAGGCAGAGGAGGAAAGGATGACTGATACATGGGTAAAACCTAGAGGATCAAAATATTTTTAGGATGCAATTGACTGGATGGAGGAGGGGAGGAGAACACTCTGAATATCCTTCAGCAAATGAAAGAAGCTTCATTTGCCCTATTTCAAAGGAGTGTGCAGGGCGATAGTATCCTTCTCTTTCTTTATTCAGAAGCAGGTTGTAGCTGGTTTAATTGTTTTCACGGTCAGAGATTTGTGTTTTCCTGGCGGCTCGCCCCGATGTATGATGAATGCTGCAGTAATGCTGGGTTTTCCTTGTGCTCCCTGTAGAACTGGATAGGGAGGTGCGTGGGGGGGGGGGGGAATCTGCTTAGATCAAGGCTACACTGTGTAATTTGGGTCCGTGAGAGCAGTGAGGTGAACTTTATTGTGCTGTGTTTGTTTACTCTGAGCTGGTCTTGGTGTGAGGCGCTTCTCTGTGCACATAGAAACCGTTGTCTTTATTGACAGAAGCCCCAGAGGTAGGTCCTCATGTGACAGCAGTTCCTGGGATCTGGTAGGTCTGTAGCTTGCTTTTGTGTCTTCTTGAGCAACGAGATCCCATCTTGGATAATGACCCTTTCAGGGCATGTTCAGAAAACCACCTGGATGACTCTAAGCTTGCAGGCATTTCTTATTTGTCAGCAGTTGTCTTTAGCTTGCAAAGGTGGCAGAGATTGTTTCTACTTTCTGTTCCCACAGGGTTGAATGAATCCATGGAGTGATTTGTCACTTTCTTTTTATTTATTTATTTTTTTTTTAACTTTTTTCCTTTTTTTCTTCTGTCCCCAGTAGCCCCAAATCAAAGCAGGAGGTGATGGTCCGTCCCCCTACAGTGATGTCCCCATCTGGCAACCCCCAGCTGGATTCCAAGTTTTCCAACCAGGGCAAACAAGGGGGCTCGACCAGTCAATCCCAGCCCTCTCCCTGTGACCCCAAAAGTGGAGGTCATCCCCCGAAAGTGCTCCCTGGCCCAGGTGGGAGCATGGGGCTGAAGAATGGGGCTGGAAATGGTGCCAAGGGGAAGGGAAAGAGAGAGAGAAGCATTTCAGCAGACTCCTTTGAACAGAGGGAAGCTGGGACTCCTAATGACGACCCTGAAATCAAAGGTATGTTTGCTAGGATATGTGCACAACTACAGACAATTGGTGTGCATCGTCTGTGAGATGGAGAATTGCTATGCATGTGTTTCCAGCCAGAGATGTCTAAAGGTCTTGAGAGCAAGTAGAGAGGGGATGCCATAGCTGACATCAGTAAGCATGTCCTCTTGTTCATGTTAAGTTGAAGTGCAGACCCAACTCTGGTAGAAAAGTTCCTTTGTAACTCTGAAACTCCCCCAAGGATTTGAAAGTACAAATACAACCTGTTGGTTTCCTTCTGGCTTTTGGCCTTCCAGGAACTACTCTGTTGTAACTGGGGTTTTGAACGATATGCAAGCCTGTTTTGTCAACACAGATACGTAATCTGTAGCGCCCTGACTGGTAACACAAACCAGAGAGTTGGGATTTCTGCATTCTGTTCCTGGCTTCAAGTGTTGTCATTGTAAGGTGGTGTGAAAATAGACAAGTCATTTGTCCATCTTTCATTTATTTCATCTGTTTGCTAGGTCGGTCTCCTGGCTAAGGTGACTGGAGGAGGAGGGAAAAGCAGAGTTTGTCGCAGTGCTCTCCTTGAACGCGGACATTCTTATATTTGCACATTTTAGCGTGCAGTCTTCCTGCTGTTCTCTGTGGCCATTAGAGATTGCAGAGATCAGCTCTGGGAACTGCCACTTGTCTTAGAATGTGACAAGATGAGCTTTCCCCAGCAGTATCTCTAGGGCAGCATGGCATTAAAGGGAAGGGGCATGGTGTAATAAATGGATTGCCTTGATTAGTGCTTGGTGGATAAGCAGGAAACTTCAGAGGAAGATAAACTCTGTCAGTTTGCAAATGCGAACCAGAAACGGTTTCAGGAGAGGTGCCAAGATGTGATTTCTCCTCTTCTTTCCTCCTTCCAGACTGCAATTCTGCTGATCATGTGAAGTCCCAGGATTCTCAGCACACACCGCACTCCATGACACCTTCAAATGCTTCAGCCCCAAGGTCTTCCACACCTTCCCATGGCCTGACTGCTGCTTTGGAACCAGCAAGTGGGCAGAAGACTCCATCCAAAGTGGTTTATGTCTTTTCTACTGAGATGGCCAACAAGTAGGTAGATGCTTGAATGTCTTCAGGGAGAGGGGCTTATATTTTTATTCCCTTTTCATGAAACTCTCAGGTGCCCTTTCTCTGTCATGTGTGTTTTCGTAGCAAAAAAAGCAGTGCTAAGTGTTTTGACGGTGCGTCCCCGGTTGGTGTGGGGAAGAGGCCTCTTGCTCTCTGAGAAGTAATGATATATTCCTATGGGGTGCATTTTTGGCAGATGTCAATAAGATATTGATTTGCAATCCACACAGCAAGTATAAGCTGGAGTGACTTAAACCTAGGTGTGACCCCTAAGAGTTGTTGAGTTCGTGGATGTAAGTATTTTCCTTTTGCTGCTTATCTGATATCAAATATGTGGGGTTAAGTCTTTTATCCTTCTGCCAGCTGAAAGGGGAAGGATGCTGATTAGGAAAGTTTGATTCTTAGCTTCAACCGGATATGTGTGTCTGTCTGTCTATCTTTGCAGGGCTGCAGAAGCCGTGCTGAAGGGACAGGTGGAAACCATTGTGTCCTTTCATATCCAAAACATCTCAAACAGCAAGGTGGAACGAAACACTGTACCCTTGGTAGGGAGCTGCCTGCAAGTGGGTGGGAAGGGAAATGTTAAGTGTGCTTGTGCATGTGTGATTCAGAGAGATGGGTGATGCTCTGAAATAAGTTTTAGGATGGAAAGGAGAGAGATGGTTGTTCTGCAAATAAATGTCTTGAATTATCCAAAGGAATGTTTATCTTGCAATACTTGGGTAGTGTATTTCCAACCCATCGATCATGCAGAGCTAATGCAGAAGGAAGGGGTACCTGCTGTAACGCTTGAGCAAAAATATTTGGGTTTTTTTGTTTTGTTTTTTTTTACGGCCAAAATGCTGCTCTGTAAATGTCTTTTACAAGGACGCTACCCTTCCTTGCAGAGCCTGGGCTGGTGGGGTTATGACAGGACATTGTTATTGGCACCTCTGCTTATGTGGCACAGCTGTAAGAAGAGAGTGATGGCACGTGGCTTTCTCTTTCAGAACCCCCAGATCAATGCACTTCGGACTGAACCCAAACCCCTGCCGCAGCCACAGCCCCCTACTGCCCAGGACCAGAACCCTCCTCAGAACGCCAAAATGCAGCCGACTGCACCTGTGTCAGCACCAGTATCCAAATCCACTGGTCCCCCGTGTCCCATAGACCAGGACAGTCCCAGTGTGGAAAGCAAAGTGATGTCTGTGGGCAGCCCTGCCAACTCGACCCCGCTGCAGACAGAAGGATTTGGGCAGAGTTCAACCCCCAATAATCGAGCAGTTAGCCCCGTTTCCCAAGGTAGCAATAGCTCTGCTGCAGACCCCAAAGGTCCTCCCCAGCAGGTGTCTGGTGGGGACCCAGCCAGTTTGGGTGAGAATCCAGACGGACTGTCGCAGGAGCAGCTGGAACATCGAGAGCGCTCTTTGCAGACCCTGAGAGACATACAGCGCATGCTCTTCCCTGATGAGAAGGAGTTTGCTGGAGGGCAAAGCGGAGGGCCACCTGCAAATTCTGGGGTGATGGATGGGCCCCAAAAGAAACCTGAAGGGCCAATACAGGCCATGATGGCGCAATCCCAAAGTTTAGGCAAAGGGTCAGGGTCTCGGACAGATGGAGGGGCTCCGTTTGGCCCTCAAGGACACAGGGACATGCCCTTTTCCCCAGATGAAATGGGGCCACCACCAATGAACTCCCAGTCGGGACCTATAGGCCCAGACCACCTGGACCACATGACTCCTGAGCAGGTGGCCTGGCTCAAGCTGCAGCAGGAGTTCTACGAGGAGAAGAGAAGGAAACAAGAGCAGGTTGTTGTGCAGCAGTGTTCCCTGCAGGACATGATGGTCCATCAGCACGGGCCTCGTGGGGTCGTCCGAGGCCCCCCTCCTCCCTACCAGATGACCCCCGGGGAAGGCTGGGGACCTGGGGGTCCAGAGCCCTTCCCTGAAGGCATGAACATGTCACACTCTCTGCCCCCCAGGGGTATGGCCCCTCATCCTAATATGCCTGGGAGCCAGATGCGCCTGCCTGGTTTTGCGGGAATGATGAACCCTGACATGGAGGGCCCCAGTGTCCCAAATCCTGCCTCTCGGCCAGGGCTTTCAGGAGTCAATTGGCCAGACGACGTGCCAAAAATCCCAGATGGCCGAAACTTCCCCCCTGGCCAGGGTGTCTTCAGTGGCCCTGGCCGAGGGGAGCGGTTCCCCAACCCGCAGGGCCTGCCGGAAGAGATCTATCAGCAGCAGCTGGCTGAGAAACAGATGGGCCTCCCTCCTGGCCTCAACATGGAAGGCATCAGGCCTGGCATGGAGATCAACAGAATGATCGCCTCCCAGAGACACATGGAGCCTGGGAATAACCCCATCTTCCCTCGCATGCCAGTGGAAGGGCCGATGAGCCCCTCCAGGGGGGACTTCCCAAAAGGAATGCCCCCCCAAATGGGCTCTGGCAGGGAGCTGGAGTTTGGGATGGGCCCTGGTGGCATGAAGGGGGACATGGGCATGAATGTCAGCATGGGCTCCAACCCACCCCTGGTACCTCAGAAGTTGAGGGAGGCGGGAGTCGGACCGGAAGAGATGATGAAACTGCGACCGGGTGTCTCGGAGATGCTCTCCTCTCAGCAGAAGATGGTGCCGCTGCCGTTTGGGGAGCACCCGCAGCAGGAGTATGGCATGGGTCCCAGGCCTTTCCTTCCCATGTCTCAGGGCCCGGCAGTTGGTCTCCGAAACCTCAGAGAACAGATAGGGCCTGACCAAAGGACTAACAACCGGCTCAGCCACATGCCGCCACTACCTCTCAATCCCACCAGTAACCCTAATAGCCTCAACACTGCTCCCCCTGCGCAGCGCAGCCTGGGCCGCAAGCCCTTGGATATCTCCGCAGCCGGTCAGGTGCATTCTCCAGGAATCAATCCTCTGAAGTCTCCCACCATGCGCCAGGTCCAGTCTCCCATGATGGGGTCTCCCTCGGGGAACCTCAAGTCTCCTCAGACGCCCTCCCAGCTGGCAGGAATGCTCGCAGGCCCCACCGCCGCAGCTGCCGCTGCTTCCATCAAGTCCCCCCCGGTCTTGGGGTCTGCTGCTGCTTCTCCTGTCCACCTCAAGTCCCCGTCTCTCCCCGCACCTTCTCCAGGATGGACTTCGTCTCCGAAGCCTCCTTTGCAGAGCCCTGGCATCCCCCCGAATCACAAGGCGTCTCTCACCATGTCTTCTCCAGCCATGCTGGGGAACGTGGAGTCGGGTGAGTGTTGCCTTTTCCAGCCCGGCCCGGCTCTTTGGCTTCGATGGGTTATCCAGAGGTTTGGAGAGGGCTCTCGCATGGGTGTCAGGGTGAGGGATGGTCTTTGGGAGGACAGTGGAGTGAAAGGGTACTCCTCGGTGTCTTTGGGCTGTTGGTGGCACATGGCATCCACAACCTTGCAGAGGAGCAGGCTGTACCCTGCAGCCAGGCTCCAGGCGCAGAAGCTCTTTCCAACCTGGAGAGATGTTGCTGAGAGCCGGCCGGAGGCTGGGAGAGGCTTGCCCACGTTGCCCTCTAGTGCTGCCGTGGGTAACAGCGCTGCAGAGGCTCGGCTGGGACGTGGCTGGTGAGACTGGAATCTCCAGCAGCAGTGGTGACAGGCAGGGTGACCCCTTACATCACATGAGCAGGGCTGCTGGCTGCGTCTCCCTGCCGTGGGCTGTGCGGTAGGGGAGCCAGCCTGGCTGTTGGTGTCTGCCCAGCACGAGCTGCAGCTCCTGCAAGTCGGAACCAAATGCTTCAGTCTGCGCCTGAAGGATGCCTTTATATCTAATGCTTTCAAAGTGGAAATGTTCTGGCACCGCAGGATTTTTGTCTTCTCTGTTCTGTCTTCCCTCTTCTGGGGTGGGCTAAAACGTGCAGTGAATTTTGAGGGATGGTACAACTTTGATTTAACGTCTTTCCTTCAAATGTGTTCTGAGGGGTGCAGAATTCATTGCTAAAGAACAAAGGAGGTTGGAAGTGCAGATATTTCTAATTTTGGGAGGCGAAGGATTATGTTAAGCCAATAGGTACTGGTGTGAGCCGTGAACATATATACATGTATAAAATTAAAAGTGAAATTTGAAGGAGTTTTGTTTGTAGCTCCTAACGTATCTTGTCAGAAATCTGCCCATGTTTCTCAGCATAATATCTGCTACATCTCTTCATTGCACTGCATATGTCTCTTGTGCTTGTTAGATGCCTCCTAAAGAAAAAGAGAAAGGCATTACAGTTGACACTTGGTGGGTGCAGGAACAATTAATTGACCCTGTATTCAGTTTGGATTTCTGTGACTAGATGTGGTACATACATCTGTCTTCAGTGCAAGGAAGTCAAATTGTAGGATTTGCAGACTTGCCTGATCATTCTTGTGAGTTTGTTCAGGCTCAGGATAGTTACAGTATAGTGTAGGATAACAAATGTTAACCGTCTTGACTGATGGATAGGCTTATTTTTCTGGTTACCTTGCACAGGCATTGACTGCAGTAGTCAGATGGTCTCCTGTAATAAAAGAGCTTTCTAGTTTTTGAACGCTCTAGAAGAAGAAACCTTGAAAAGATCTTAAAGAAAATTTCCCCTCCTCTTTTCCTAAGGTGGTCCACCTCCTTCCACCGTCAGCCAGCCTGCTCCTGTGACTCTCCCTGGAAATCTTCCCTCTAGCAGTCCTTACACAATGCCTCCAGAGCCGACCCTCTCCCAAAATCCTCTCTCCATTATGATGTCCAGGATGTCCAAATTTGCCATGCCCAGCTCAACACCGCTCTATCACGATGCCATCAAAACTGTGGCCAGTTCAGATGATGACTCCCCTCCTGCACGCTCCCCAAACTTGCCTCCTATGAACAGTGTACCAGGTAAGAAATTCAAGGGAACATAAGCTCAAGCTGTCAGACAGCACAGTGGGGATTTTTATGGAAGTTTAATCAGATGAAGATGGTGAGAGGTAAAACCTTGAAGGATGTAGAGCCATGGGTTGTTTTCAGGGAAGGCAGTTGCAGTTCTCTGAAGTGGAGAGATGGGAGTTCTCTTTGCAACTAGTTTTTCTGACTGGAAAGTGTATTTTCTTTGTAAAGCATCTAAACTAGGAAACTGTTTATGTATAGGAGAGATTTCAGCACAGGTTGAAGGAAATTACTTGTGCGAGTGAAAGCTGCTCATGGGGGTAAATGCCAGACCTACAATGTACTATCCAGAGAAAACTCTTCTTCCTTTGTCTTCTTCAGGCAGTGTCACAGAAGCTTCACAGAGTTGTTCTGTTGTTGACACTGAATCATCTGGTCTCTTCTCCTCCACTATGTTTTATGTATTGCCTTTGTTACAGAATGGAGTGTTAAAGCAGTTTCTCAAAATTTACTCATACTTGGTGTGCATGTAATGATAACCTCAGCTGGGATTGAGGGAACTGTCCTGGTACCTACCTGAGAGGGTGGGAGGGAAGGCAAAATAAAATGCTGTTCTTTTGGGCTTTCTCATGGATCATCATGTTTATATGATAAATCCAATTTCTGCTGACAGTTCTGTGATGATGGGTACGAGTTTATTAAATACGAAAGTAGCTTGTAGCCCCTCCACCCAGCTGAATTAATACAGTTGAAAGAGAGGATGACTGGATGTTTGAAGAGAGTGGCAATTAGTAATGAATTCTTGATGAGTTTACCTGTAGCTATGCTATTTGTTTCACACAGTAGTAATGAGAATTGCTAAATATACTTGGGAAAGCTGGCTTACCTGAGTCAGTTTGATGATAGCTCACTGATCTCCACTATCTAGGCTTTGCGAGCATTGTCTCATTCATCTCAGGTTTTGAAAGGAGGTTGTCACCTCCTCCTGGTGGACAAATGTCCATACCTTGGTAATCTGCCACAGACACGTTTGTCACCAACTGCCTGAGCTAGAGTGCCAGGAAAATAGTAAAAGTACAAGATGGATTGAGAGGCTGCTTACAGAGCAGGCTTTAGTTCCTTTTTGATAGAGCAGAGACAAAGTTAGATAAACTGTTGTGCAAGTGGCATCAATTTTCTGGTTAAAATATCACTCTCCAGAGCCACTACTGATGCTTTTTTTTTATTAGCAATGATTTTTTTTTTTTATTTTTTTTTTATTTTTTAAGTTCTTTTTCGTGTGTGTGTGTGTGTGTGTGTTTGGACTTGGTAACCATGCAGAAAGCTCTCTGATATCTTTATTATTTGTTTCTTGTTGGCTGTAATCTAAATCCGATTCCTTATTTTTTCCCTAGGAATGGGCATTAATTCTCAGAATCCTCGAATTTCAGGTCCAAACCCAGTGGGTCCAATGCCAACCCTTAGCCCCATGGGAATGACCCAGCCTCTTTCCCATAACAACCAGATGCCCTCTCCAAATGCTATGGGACCCAATATACCTCCTCATGGGGTCCCCGTGGGACCCGGCCTGATGTCACACAACCCGATGATGGGGCACGGTTCCCAAGAGTCTCCAATGGTACCTCAAGGACGCCTGGGCTTCCCACAGGGGTTCCCTCCTGTACAGTCTCCTCCACAGCAGGTGCCCTTCCCACACAACGGGCCCAGCGGTGGACAAGGCAACTTCCCAGCGGGAATGGGTTTCCATGGAGAAGGACCTCTGGGGCGTCCCACCAACCTGCCCCAAAGTTCGACAGATCCAGCACTTTGCAAGACTGGAGGCCCTGGTGGTCCAGACTCCTTCACTGTTCTCGGAAACAACATGCCTTCGGTTTTCACTGACCCAGAGCTGCAGGAGGTGATCCGTCCTGGAGCCACGGGCATCCCTGAATTTGACCTGTCCCGGATTATCCCGTCGGAGAAGCCCAGCCAGACGCTACAGTATTTCCCTCGCGGAGAGGTGCCAGGCCGCAAGCAACCGCAGGGCCCCGGGCCCGGGTTCTCCCACATGCAGGGAATGATTGGAGAGCAGACCCCGCGGATGGGACTAACGTTGCCTGGCATGGGGGGCCCCGGGCCAGTGGGAACTCCGGATATCCCCCTTGGGACGGCTCCGTCCATGCCGGGTCACAACCCGATGAGACCGCCGGCCTTTCTGCAGCAAGGCATGATGGGGCCGCACCATCGCATGATGTCACCAGCACAAACAGCAATGCCTGGCCAGCCTGCGCTAATGAGCAACCCTGTGGCTGCCGTGGGCATGATCCCAGGCAAGGACCGAGCCCCCGCCGGGCTGTACAGCCACCCGGGCCCCGTGGGGTCACCTGGGATGATGATGTCAATGCAGGGCATGATGGGACCCCAGCAAAACATCATGATTCCCCCCCAGATGAGGCCCCGAGGTATGGCTGCTGATGTTGGCATGGGAGGATTTAGCCAAGGCCCTGGAAACCCAGGGAACATGATGTTTTAAGCTGCTACCGTAAGACTGGATGTTCCGATCCTTGTCAAGATGAGATTCCAAGTCCTGAGGGCTTTTTTGGGAGCTTCAGGAGTACAGTTTGGCCATGCAATAGGTGAAAAGAGACCAGAGAACACTTTGGGAAATCTCGAATGTATGGAATTACCTGAAAAAAAAAATTATTCATTTTAACAGGTTGTTTTTTTTTTGGTTTTTTTTTTTTTTTTTAAGATTTATTTTTTAAAAATTATTTTTGTGGACTTGGGTATCCCGTGATGGCACCTGCTTTGAGAATCTGTAGCTGTATTTTGAGAATTGCCATTTGTCACAAGTTGCACCATTCTCTGTATGTTTACGTCCTTTGGACTGGCTTCTCCCAGGACTCTCAGTTATTTTGTTGTTTTTTTTTTTTTTTTTTTTTTTTGTGTACTGTACTATATTGTAAAAGGGATTTTAGCAGAGACTTTAGTCTTTGGGGTGAGAGGAGAATGGGATTCTAGGCTGTTTACTTTAGGTGGAGAATCCATCTTCAGAACTTCGGACTATTTTCCTTCAACTCCAATGTATAGAAAAACCAAACTACGACCTCAGAGCAGAGTATTAATGAAAAGCACAAAAAGGAACTTAAGTTCAGTGAGGGGAATCTTTTAAAAGAAATAAATAATAAGTTAAGGACATATTTTTCAAATTATGGCGTGCTGTCCAGCACCTTCTGTCTCTCCCTCCCACTCTTTTATTAAATAGGCTTCTCTCTCTCTCCGTCCCCCTTCTATCTCCTCCTATGGCAGCTGCAATACATTGTGTTATTTTGGGGGGTAAATCTAGGTGCGCCTCTCCTCACGTGGGGACTCTTCCCACTTCTAGGAAGGGGCTGGACTTGGACACTGTTACATTCTACAGTAGTCTCTCTCACTGTTTCCTATTCTCCTTTTCTTAGAAACCCCAAGTGATTTTATTAATGTGGGAGTGGAACAGACACTAAAAGTTATCCAGAATTTTTTTTGTGGTTATTTTTTTTTTTTTTTTTTTTTCCTCCCCAGCGTAAAACGTTCTGTGTAACCTCCATTAAATTTGGTACAAAACCACTCGCCAGGGCTGTGGTGTCAGAAAAATAAAATATATTGTTTCTTACAAAGATGAACTGTCTTTTTTATCCAATCCAGTTGTTTCCTATGTGCATCGAATGGCTGGCAAGATGACTATTTGTTCTTTCCTGTGATCACAGATAGTCTGGTGGCTAGGTGGGGCAAGCTGTGGCAGCTCGTAAAAATCAAGTCTGTAGGAGCCACGTGCTCTTTACAAGGTGCTTCTGTTTGCTTACTCTTGAATGGAGCTTGGTTTTCCTTGGAGTGAGGCCTTATTTCTGAATGCCCTAGGGATGATGGTTACGATCTTTCCTTACTGGCAGTTCAAAGATAACGCCTGCTGTTTCTATTGCTTTCTCTTGGCAAGCGCTTGCAGCTCTACAAGGTAGGTGGTTTCAGTTTTCCCAAAGCAGCAAAGTCCACCTGCTGAGCACTGGAGTCTTAGAGCTGTGCAGGGTGCTTGGGCTGTGTCCCCCTTGCCCCCTTCGCCCCCCAGGGGGCTTTGGATTGGGTAGCATCTCTGACTTCTGTCACTCGGAGGTTGAGATAGCAGGGAATGGATGAACTTAAATAACAAAGGTGAGAAAGAAGTTATCAGTGAGCAGATTTTTATCAAGATGGCCCTGCTGGGTAAATTATTGCTTTGCTGCAGTTGTCATCGATTGCTTCCTAATCCTGCCTTTTCACGCTTGCCTTCTGAGTTTCAGTGAGCAGGTTTTTGGGTTTTGTCTATGAGAAGCAAAGGACTGGATGCTAAACCAGGTCTGTGAGTTGAGCCCCACTGCTGGAGACAACTGGGATATATCAGATCTGTAGAGAAGGGAGCAGGCCTCTGTAGCTCTCTGCTTGCCCTAGCACTGTGTATGCAACATGTAGTCTCTTCCTCTCACTTGTCCTTATTTGAAATTACTTAAATTAGTAGTTTCCTCAAAAGGCTGTCAGTTTGTGTGAAACTTCACATGCGAATGAGCACCTTTAATATGCTTGTGTGTGAGGGTTTGTGAAAGTTGGCTGATGTTTAAAGGATGGAAAAAGAGTTTCTGTCCATGACTGTTTTACCAAAGTTTAGTTGCCAGTGTTACAAAATGAATGAACCCACACACATCAGAAGGCACGCAGTCTTCAAAGCATTGTGTCGGCTGTTCCAAATTCACCTTTGTGCTGTCATGCAAATTTGAAATGATTTTGGGTGAGAATTACTCTTCTGACAACGTGTGGGATGTGTGTTGTGGTGCTTCCCTCTAACAAGACAAGTAGCGTGCCTGAAGCATGGGCTTGTCAAGATTTCAGACAGCTGACAATGACACAGTAAGTGTTATTCCTGTACAGTGGAGTTACCTTTTCTGTAAATGGTTGCACAGTTCCTTTTTCAGGATCTTGGAAATTGTCATAGTGCAACTTTTTTAAACAGTTCTGCTGCTGCCATGTTTGGCTGTTTTACCATGTTGAACAAGGCGAACTCGACTGTCATGGTAATAAGCAGAATTCGTTATTTTTTTTTTCTTTAATACGTCTTCTCCATTCTTTCCTATACATGTTGAGGTATTTTGAGTAGCAAAGGATATGAAATGACTGCATCAAAGGCCCTTAGCAAGTGAAAAGATGCATTTTTAAGATGTTAGGTAATTAAAGCTCCTTCTGCGTCCAACTTCAAATGTTGGCATTTGGTGTCTTAACAAGATTTTTCCTGCAGAAAATGCAAGAGACTTGGCTTCTCCTGCATCACATAGGTCCCCTTAACCTCAGTGGCATTCCTAGCTACGAGATTCAAAGGCTTCAGCTGGATCCAGTTAGAAAAAAAAAAAATAAATTGGTAGATATGGACTGAGCTGCCCTGTTTTGTTCTAATCTCACTTTTCCCCCTTCTTAGCTCTCAAATGCAAAAGCTTTCTAGCTGCCAGCCTTGCATATTCACCTTAGGATGTAAGTTCAGGCTCTGCTCTCTCCTGCTTGTTTTTAATAGTAGCTATGACTCAGCTCTGGTAGTCATGGTGCACTTGAAGAAGGATAATGGGGCTGCCATTTTTAGTTCCTCTCCTCCATCGATTTTTTTTTTTTCCTTCTTCTTCTTTTTTTTTTTAATTTCCAAATGCTCCTCCTCTACCTTTTGTTTGAAAGAATGAAATAGACTTTATTCATACGTGCTTGGCTGCTCTTCCTCTCTAGTAGCATGGGAGGAAACAGTCTGCTGTTCAAATTATCTCATCCCAGATGGCTGCGCAGCCGGAGCGCAGAGACTTAAAAGGTAAACCCAGCAGATGGTGAACTTCTGAAACGCAAAGTAATGTGCCTGCTAAATCAAAAGTTTAAAATGTTTTAAATCTGTTTGTTTTAAAGCAGTAGACTGTTGTGAACAGGTCACCTGTGAAGTACGCTGGCGGTTTTAAGCACTGCCCAAATGAATTTCAGCTTTGTGCCTGTATTGTGGGTTAGCTAATCCACCAAAGGGTGTTACAAGCAACGTTCTAGACCAACTGGCTTAGTACCGAACTCCTAGTGGTACCCAATGGGTAATGTTTCAGAAAACAGACCAATGTGTGGAGATCTTCTTCAGTGTTGGTTGGGATTTGAGTACTGGCTGTGCTTCTGGTATGTTGCACGGGTCCTGACTTGGGGTAGATGTGAGAAACTGACCCCTCCTAAGGAGGGTAAGAGGGTGCTTCACTGTATTGATTAAGTAGTAATCCTAAAGCTATCCCAAGATGTAAGTTTTGTGTTATGTAGCCTGTGTCATCATCCTCATGAGGTGACCTCTAGCTGAAAGATTTTCCTATTCTGAAGCAGTCCATGTAGTTTCCAATTATTTCTGTTAATGCTCTTGGTTGTGATAGATGAGTAACACTGAGCTTTATTGTGTTAGTCATGTTTAAAGATTAAAGCACATTATCTAGAGTGGATTTTTTTTTTCAGGCCTTAAACTCCCAACTCAAACTGCTAGCTTTATTATGTTGGATTCGTTGACAAATATAGAATCCTGGAATCATTAACGTTGGAAAGACCTCTACAATCATCCAGTGCAGCCATCAGTACATCACCACCATACCACTAAACCACGTCACTCAAAATATATTAAGCTCAATATCCGCTTGATCTTCATGTTCAGCCAGTAAGTCTTCAGTGCTTGTGGTCCTTCACTGAGCGATGTCCTCTCAACTTACTGCATAACCACGCTTTACACTCCTGGTTACTTCTGTTTGAGGCAGAGTGTGAGGCAGAAAAGCAGTGCTGTTTTGTTTGAGATGCTAGAAATCTTGAGAGCAGCTCAAGTTCATGAGGGAACCTGAGGCTGAACTCCGTTAGTTCACTTCAGCAGCACTCCTACCAACAGCCTTGGGGTAAGAAAGTTTCAGATTTTCTTTGTGTCCCATTAGTTTGGATTTGTCTTTTCTGGTTCTTGTGGAAAGTAGGCTATTCCGTATAGATGCATTGGTTCTGGAGGGAACTTATGTCTCTCTCTCTGTATCTTCTTTATATACACACACACGCACACATACATATACACAATTTTACTATTTTTATTTATGTATTCATTTTCTCAGAAATGCCTCAGCTCTTCTGCAGTTTGGCACTTGCTAGCTGTTTCCTGTGATCTTTGAACCCTTCCACTGTCCCATCAATCCCACTTCCAAAATCAGTATTTAAATGTGCCTCCTTCCATGACAACTTTGGAGATGTTTGATGGGCTTTAGCCAGTGTGCTGTCCAAGCAACTCTGTACCAAGGAGAAGGATAAGGCAGAGTTTGGTGCAGAGGGTGGTGCAGAAATCTTTGAGACAAGTATGAATAACCTGTTCAGAGGTTCCTTCCTAGCTGCTGCCAAGATGTTGGCTTGTTTTTCTAAAATCCTTTGCTGTTGTAATAATGTATTTCAGTACATTTCAGTATGTTTTCCTGCCTAGAGCAATTAGATTATTTTAATAGCGCGAATGCAATGCCCTCTAACAGTCATAGGAGCACTAGAATAGCTTATGCTGCTGAATTCTGTTGATCTTGAGTGTGTTGCAGTTTCTGAATGTTGCAACTGCATTTGCCACTCAATTTTGCTGGGACATGCTCTTGGCTCTTGTTTCAGAATGTGCATGAATTCCTGCTTTGCTTACCATCACAGCTCAAGCCTCCAGCAACGTTCCTTAATATCCCCCTTCTGAAGCAGTCCCTGTCTTGCAAATGGCTTCCAATCGTACACCTCGTGTTTCAGTCACCACTCTCCATGTGCTTCATACCATGCCTACGAGAGAGCTTGATTAGAGCGGATCACGATGTTCTTAAGCAAGGCCATTGATTTTTATATAACAGTATTATGGTTTTAGGCTGTATAAAGAGCTCAGTGGAAAATAGCAATGTTTTGTTTGCTTTTTTGACAGCTTCTAATAGCAGTTCAGTGAGACCTCCAGCAATGTATTTAATACTCAAGTCATTCTGTTCACTGTGCACGGTGTCAACAAGTAACTGTAGTGGGGGTAGCCTAAGGAAAGAGTAGCATTAAATCATCCACCCCACTCTTCCTGGGAGAAGGTACCCAAATGCCTGCTGATGCAGATGCTGATAGGTACCACCTATCTGTCAGTGGTTCACTTTTAACATTGCTGCAGTGAGAAGGAGTATTGCAGAACCAATGCTGCAGCACCACTTCAATAATTGGTCCCCCTGTTTTAGCCTTTCCATATCTCCAAAAAAGTAGGATCCAAGTTTTATTCACCGAGAGAGAAATTCTGGCAATATAGTGGTCCTTGTACTGTCCTTTAGGAAAAACTGTCAGCATCACAGCTAGAAATACTTCTGTTGGCTATGCTGGTAATGCTCCTTTTTTAGCAAGTGCATCGTACGAGGGCTGCTCCAAAAATAATGCCTTCTGTTGTATTATGATATTAGAGGTGGATGTTGGTGATGTGGCAGCAAAGGTTGAACCTTCCCATCAATACTCTGTTACATTTTGTTGCTGCAGAACAGATGGTAGCAGAGGGGCAGTCTTACCAAATGGCATCTGATGTGGAAGTGCAGATGAAACAAAGGTGTGTCATTAAATTCCTTCATGTGGAAAAAATGGCACC